GTTCTGATTGTTAATTGGGACAGCCTAAATGAAAATTGACCAAATCTAACCCTAATATCTGGGCTAAATAATTTTACAATTGTTATTTGGCTATACGACATATCGACAAAATTTTGTCACTCGAATTATCCGATTGTGCGGATTTAGGAACATTTCAATCATACCTGGGTTATATTCGCTGGGTTATATCCCAACCAGAGTTATATCCTCATATTTAAGCAGAATAAATTTTATTTTTTTTTGTTTTTATAAGTTTTGTATGAGTTAAAATTACTTTAAACACTAACATATTTTGTATTTTTTTTTAAAAAAAATTAAAGTCGAAAAACAATTTCGATTAGTTTCGAATTGCATTTCTCTTACAATCTTTAACAGCAGGTAGCTTAATGATTTGGGTAGATTTATAGGTAGGTTTATGATTTTAATGTTATTTAGCATCGTTAATTCTTTTAGTAACAATTTCAAACATTGTGTTTCACTAATGTTTCTTCATCCCTCGATTTTAAGCACTTAATCATTTCTTATGATATAATACAGTACTTGCATTTATTATTCATTATTATTAAAAATTTTTTAATTTATCTTAATGTTCACTTAATCGAAATATTCAAATAACACGTACCTTAGAAACTTCAAGGTTTATTAAAATTTGGGATTTCATAATTTATTATTAATATTTGCCATCAACAATACTTATTTAATATTAGTTTAATAGTGAGTATAAAAACTATTAATAAATTTACTTGAATATTCTATTTACTAAATTTTTTCCTCAAATATTGAATAAGATAGGTGGCGCGAAGCGCCACCTATCGCACTAGTTATTATTATGTTATGAGAATTATCAAGAATGTAGATCATTATGTCATGAGAGTCATCAGCTTACTATATACAAGATTTTATGTACAACCTCCCAACTCGAATTGATCCATCGACTTAGAGGGATAGACCTTTTTATTATATGGCATAATAAATTACCGCATAATGGGTAATTTAATAATAATTTTCTTGACGGTTTCAATCTCTACATCTACTGAGTTATCTGATTGCTGATCATCACGGGAACCTACAATTCTCAATTTTTATTGGATGTTTCTGACATACATTGCATAGATGTGTATTCACTTTTGATCAAACATAGTTAGTCCTCGCTACGCTTCGTATAATCAGAGACCCGATTCAAATTTGCATATCTATTTACAGAATATTTAGCATTTTTATTTTTTCTTTGTAGGATTTTTTACTGGGTTGATGAAATGATAATCAAAGATGAGAGCGAAAAAGTTCCTCATGTATATGATGTTAGTGACTTATGCATAAATGTTTATCAAATTATTTCAATAATTATAGTGATATGCTATTGATAAGCTATTAAGATTTATCTTATTGCCATTAACGTATCTTGTATGTATTTATTCATATTGATTTTAATCAATGCAGAAAATTTAAAATAAGTTATTTATTTCTTAGTCAATTTCTTTATGTTGACCTGATCGCTGTATTAATTGAATTATTTGAAGATAAGCTAACACTAATTTAATTTGTTTACATTCAATTTTTTTTATATTGATATATTTAACCAGTTTTTCAAAGATAAGCTAACACTAATTTAATTCTTTTATACGGATGATACCAAGGAAAACCAGACTCCGTTCATATAAAATTTATACAATCGAAGCCCGTGTCAATCTAGGAATGTCTTTTCTAGTTTCTTGTTGATAACAATCTCTGACATAAAAATAAATTATTCTAATAGTATTCCCATTTTGATAAATTAAATTTTGTATTATTTCAAAAAGACGTATTAATTTTCAGAATTTAAAATGGATAACGGATTAGTACAAGTCATTTTGTACTTGGTAGATTTCCGATAAATTTAAACTCAGCATAGTTTTATAACACCTTATGGTTTAATTGATTCGAAAATTAATTAAACAATTTGAAAATGATGGTTATAGTACCTGAACAAGTAAAATGCCTTTTCAAGAAAGCCTTAGAAACTAAAAGACTTTGTCTTCATGAACATTCAGTATATTAGTTTAGAAAATAAAAAAAATAAATCCGATCGTCCGACGAAATTTCGAATGTCACGTAATGTAAAACGAAAAATCGACTTTATGTGGCCTAATACCCGAGTAACAAAAATAACATCATTGCAGATTAATTTAATGAGAAATGATTAGTTCATCTTATGTACTTTGATTTTTAATTATTATAATATTTTGTTTAACGACTATTAACTCGCAGTTCGAATAAACATAATAAAAAGAAATTAAATAAGAAATGAATAGATTACAGTATAAGTAAATTAATGCCAGTTAATAAATAATCATCGCAACTTGCACTTGCAGACTATGTTAATTTATGTCAACATAAAAAGAACAATCCGGGTTTACATATTTATCGTAGACCTCATTGCATGTAACTTTAAAAAATATTTATACATGGAGTCCACACTAAATTTGTAAATCTCAGGTCTAATGCTAACACTAAATTTTCTAATCAGAAGGTATAACCATATATAGCTCATTATTGTTCTTAATTTGTTAATTTATTAATTACTGATTGTTACGTAGTGCGGCGCAACATAACTACATTCAAAAAAAAAGATCTGGAAATAATTTTTCACTCGGCAAATGATTGTCCACCGTGTAATAATATTTTGATAATCCCACTATTTATAGCATTCGTTAAATTGAAGAATAATTTAGCCATACTGTATTTAAATATGGAAAAAATTTGTTGCATATTATTTTTCCGGATCACTGAGAATTAAGAATTTTATATGGGATCTTTGCTAGGAAAATCACCCTCGACACTTTCCGATCGGGCTAATTCGGAGCATTTTAAATAAACCTGCCGGTTCTTATTTATATATAAATCATTTTTTGCCTTTATTGATTCAATAACTTATCGAATGAACGCTTGAATCAATAAAGATAAAAATATTTACATACAAATAAGTGCCGGTATATTAGCCCGATCGGAAAATTTTAAAGGGTGATTTTCCTAGAAAGATCCCATACATTCATATATTATTGATCGCCTGGTGCAATCTTCATGTAAATGTTGCATCTGAAGTAGCCACCCATCTAAAGTAGCTACTTTATATATCTAAAGTAGCACCTGACTACGTAAAATTAGATATACGTATAAAGATACAACATGAACACGGCCATACCAAAATTGTCGACAGATTTAATGTAAACGTTGTGATTTTAGTGTTAATAACATGAAAAATTAGAATTTTGTTGCTTAAAACAGTTAACAATATGAAAGTGTTATTTAACTGTGTTAATGTGATAATAAATGTTTCTGAGATTTGTAGATTCAATCAATTGGGTTTCATAAGGGAGCCATCCCGAAATATTCTGAATTAGAGTCGAGTAGTTTTTGTATGCCTTTATATTTTGATTAAATGAATATTAAATTTTTTTTTGAATCAAATATTATTATTTTGCTAAAAATAAATTGTTATTGAAAAAAAAAATGTATTTTTGAAATTTTGGATAGACGGGTAATGTAAAAAGAAAATTAACTTTGGTGTGGCAGAGATAAACTAAATAATCTATTCATGCTTATAGATATTTACTGTAGAGGTGGAAATAACAATTATACGACAAAAATTTCTTTAATCAGAGTTAAAGTCACTCGTAGCTTACGTGGGAGTGACATCAACTTAGATGAAAAAAACGAAATTGTTATTTTTCATCATTTACCAATAGATAATTACTATCACATATCGATAGTAAAAATCGGCGTCAATAAATGCCACATTGATTGATTTGATTGATGAAACAGTAATCAGTTGTAGGGTAAAGTAATCAGTAGACGCAAATTCTTACATTTTATCTACCAGTCAAGTTGATAATTAGCGGGTTTCTTTGTTTAGGTTTTCTGTTCCTGGTTTTGCGCAATAACGTCGTGCTGCTATCTAGTTTTTAATATCATCTGTTTGCAGTCCTATTGACCGATGGTAGCATGATTATCCAAATTATTAATTGAAGTTAAAATTATAATTTTTTAAAATTTGAACGTATCTTTCTTAGTGACCACTTTATTTTTATTTTGGTGAAATTTTTTTTCTAAAAATTCTAAAATATTAGTCTTTCCATTTATAATTTTTAAACCTGTTTTCTTGACAATCACCTAATTAATTTCTATAACATCCTTTATTATGTAATATGTTTGACAGTCTATACCAGCTAAATACGGGAACATTGAAGGAGAGGGTGACCACCTTTAGGGCATGAAAGAATCTCATTTTGCAGTATGAATTGTATAGATTATAATTCAAATGAATTAAAAATTGAATTCGTAATGCGTAATAAAATGCCAGTTTTAGAAGAAAGTCATAATGAACTATCTTTACCTGTTTGTTATCAGCTTTCGTCCTTTTCATTACCTGATTTTAAAGATGGTTATTAAATATCAAGATCAACTTTTTGAGCCAATAAATACGTGACATGGATTGAATTAATCAGCAGATTGACAAATAAAGTATTGATCTACAGGTTAATGAGTCGACGGTGAAAGATAATAGCTTGGATAACTTTAATCTAAGTTAATTTTTTTATTTAATGCTAATTTAATTTTACTTATTTATTTATTTATTTACTAGATATACCGATACAGTATCACTGAACTGACATCAATAATCATATAATGCTAAGTATCTTTTTTTCATTCATTCTATATACAGATAAGAGTTACTAATGCTTTATTCTTATTTTCAGGTAGGTATTGTTTGAGTGGTTTGTGTTTGCTATATGCAATTTGGTGCAGCTCTTTACAGGTGTCATTCATATAGCCTTCTAGGTTGTTTGTGTTGTTGATAATACCATTGTTGACATTGCTGTTAGTAGTGGATTTCATCGTTATTCCTGATGGTGACATTGTTGTAGATGTTGATGATGCCTTTAGATTTTGTTGCTAGTGCCGTCATTGCTGATTCATCTTTACTGATAGTAGAATTTGTCATTAGTGTTGGTATCATTTGTAGTGTTAGTGTCAGCCTTGGGGTTTCACTATTAATGTCGCTATTGCTGGTGGTAGATTTTATTGTTGATGTCAGGGTTGGTGTTGAAGTTATTGAAGTGGAAAATCAGGCAAAAATTTACTGACTTAAGATTTGCCAATTTGATAAGTTTTGATTTAAAACTTATCAAATTAGCAAATCTTCAGTTAGTTAATTTTACCAGAATTTTTAGAATTTATAAAAACAGCTGTAAACCATGTAGCTTGAAATCAGCAACGTGTGTGAAAATAGTTTGTATATAAATTTATGAAAAGCTGAGATCTATTAGCATCATTTAGTAGATTCTACTTTAAATATACATAGAGGAACATTTTAATAGTATATTTTAATTTTCTAACTTATTTATTTATATGTTTAAAGCAGGTCTACTGAGTAATTAATTATAAGGACATATAATTGCAATTTTTGAATTCAATTAATTGGTTGGTAGCACAACCACATTGAGTCAAATAATTGCAATTTTTACTGTTTGCAAAATGTAACAACTTGAAAAATATGTAATAATAAATATAAGTATATATGCTAGTTAATTTTTGCTAGATGTCTCAGTATTTATAAAAACAACTGTAATATATGCTAAACCCAAACATGTTTGTAAACTTTAAATCAAACTTCAAACTGAACTACAATTAGGTTCAAGTCTGGTTTGAGTTCAGAAATCTGCAAAATCCTTGATTTGAATTTGGGTTTAGTTCAGGTTTAGCCTAAACTTGGTCTAGACTAAACTAAACATTAGAACATTAATGCAAAAACATTATAGAAGATATAAACTACTGTTGAATATAAAAAGTATTAAAGAGTATAAAATATTATCAAAAGTGAAGCTAGTCAAAAAGCTTCAAAATATTCTAAATAGAGATTTGATATAGAAACTTATAAGCAAAAAAAAATCAAGGTTTTATTTTTTAAAAAAAAACTCAAAAAAATATATAAACATAATAATAATTAATAAAGAGTTTATAACAAAAAAAGATTAGAGGTAAAATTCAAGACAGAGATATAAAAAAGTGCTTAATATAATTAAAAAAAATGATAAAAGTTTTAAAAAAGAAAACAAGTTTATAAATAAAATTAAAAGGCAAAAGAAAATTGAGAAAAAGAGAAAAACAGTACAAAAATCTAAAAATAAAAAAAACAAGATTACAAAAATGAAAAACAAAAATAGGCTTTAGAAAAAAGTAAATGTAATACAAAACATAATTTTTTTTTTTTTTTTTTTACAGTTTATAGAATGACTTCATTGGTCAGGGGTTTTCTCTTTATTATTAAAGTATCTACAGTCCGTATTTTTACGGAAGGGCTTATAATAACATATCAACGAGGGTACAATAAGCCACATGTACAACTTTAGTCATTGTCTATTTAAGGGTTCTGCCCATAGGTTCCCCACTCATTGCTATATCTAAGATCTGCTTGTGGGTTCCCTATTTAAACTCTCTGATTTTCAATATTATTCTGCTCACGTGATCTTTAATTTTAAGTACATACTTGGTCCAACCTTCAGGCTACTTTACCTGTGAGGTAAATTCTACCGAAGGAGGTAGTTCCTATAGCCACACCTTATCTGGATTTTATTGTGCCAGAGGTGATTCCATATTAGGTAAGGCTAATCCTTTTTACAAACGTTGGTGACATTTTTCACATTTCTCACTATAGTAGTGCCCGCGCTCTGCTGTACTGGTTTCCTTTTGAGAATTCCTTAAACCAAATGTGTATCTTCACATGGACTTCTACAGGACTTCATGTACGATTATAGGCTCCTTTTTAGGTTACAGAGTATTCTACCTCCAGCCCAACTCGAACCATCGACCTTGTCTATGGGGGAACAGGAGCTTATCCAATAAGCTATGGGACCCGAACCCCAATACAAAACATAATAAAATCTAATTAAGTATAAAAAATTATATTTAAGATAAATATAAATTTTTGGTATTTCTAATTTAAATAATAAAGAAAGAATTGCTAAAAAAAATAAAATAAAATATATATGTTTTATTAAATAATAATTATTAGAAAGATAATTGTTATATTGAGTATAACAACATAGCAAAATGATTAAGTTGTTATCTTTCAAGTGGTATATCAAGAGTTTGAATTACTATAGTAATAAAAATTCAAAAATTCTGCTTGCATTACAGATAAACTTTATTCAGTCAATCAGTTGAGATAGAATATCTGTAGCTATAATTACACTAGCAAGACTGAAAGGTTTGAGCAATTGTGTAATAAAAATATTATATGAAGAGATGCAAACTAGTAATAGATAATATAACCACAAAATAAGCCTCCAGGCTGTATAAATTTTATAAACTGCAAATATAAGAGCCTGCTTGGCAAGACTCAAGTAGAACAGTAATATATTTCTTTGAAGAAGCTATAATAAAGATTAAACCTAGAAAACAAAATATAAGTGAACTAAACCAGATGTAAGACAGGATGTTAAAAAGCTCTTAGAAGAACCAATATAAATTTACTAAGCAGTGCTGTTAGGTGAATATTTGTCTAAATACAGAAGAAAATTTTAGGATAACTAGCTCTTTAGCTTGAAGTCTAATAGTATAAATAGATAAAATCACCAATACTAACTAGGTTGCCAAACAACTTGGAAGAAAACAATTGCATAAACTGAGCTATCTGAATTAAAAATTTGAGAAAAGGAAACACAGGTTACTAAATTACAAAAGATATACTATGAAGTAAATTCTGAATTTTGAATAAACTCTACAAGGTTAAGTAGCAAAGTTCAAACCAAACTGAGATTAAAAATGAAATAGAAGCAGAAGAAAGTTTAAACTAGAGGAATAAAACTATAAATAAAAGACTTTGACCTAATATTACAACACTTTCAGATAGATAAAAACTTTAGCTGCAAGTAGTAGGTGTTATATAAATTGTTTGCATATTCTAATTGACAAAAGAATTACCTCATTTCTCTGCAATAAGCTATTATATTTCTATGACTACATTGAAGAAGCTAATTATTACATTCTTTGTTGATTATTACTTTATTACTTACTATTACACATTTCCTTCTATAACTATATTCTTTTTATTTATTACCTTATTCTTATGATATTTGTTAGATTACTTTATTTTACTGCATATATGATAGTAGATGAGGTATATATAAAAAGTGACTCTAGCTAGCAGATAAATTAAAATGTAAAGAAGTAGTATAAAAGTTGTGTGTATAGAATAGTAAAATAATCTTGTATATAATTTTGTACATAATTCACTTTAAAAATAAATAATAGCTTGCATATATCTCTAATAAAATACTCACACCATATAATTTGTGTTGTGCCCAAAGTTAATTTGTTAAACACAATTATTATTTTCTCAATTTTGGGCATAATATAGACCACTAACTATATATACTAACTAAAGTACTGGTCATAAATCAACAGTAAAAATAGGAATACTGTGGTCTCTGTCAGACTCACCTCAAAAATAAAGGGTTAGAAATAGGTTAATAAAAAGATAGTAGTCTGTCTTAAAATTCTAAAACATTATGTAAAATGTAAGCCTGAAAAACTGGCTATTAACTAGGATCAAAGAGTACTAATAGCTGTAGGTTTAGCATAGAGAGTTTAATTAAATAATTCTAATAGATAAGTTATAGATATAACATTTATTATAGAACTTAGCAAACTAATTAAAAGATGCACAAAAGGCACAGATATGGCTAGTATATACTCTTCAAATATATACAATGATTTCTGAATATAATAAAAGCATATATGACCAAAGAGATCACATTAATACAAAAAAAATAATTATTGTTTTGACAATAATTATAATTATATAAAATATAATATTATCTACTATCTTGTGATTATTTATTTATACTAATCTATATGACTAAATAATTTATTAAAACTTTTATTTAATAAAGTTTTAGAAAGATTTTATTATTTATAAAATAATTATTGTACAGATTAAAATAAAATTAAATTAAAATAAAACAAGTAACTTTTTTTGCTTACTTTTAAAGCTTATAAAACCAATATATACTCTTGTATTAATTACTTTAACTTTAAACCTACCCTAATACTAAAAAAACATCCAATAATATCTTCTAAAAATTTTAATTTTTTTTAAAAAATAGAAAAATTTCTTATTAATCTAATTTCATTTTAATCTGTCACAATTATTAATTTATTTTTTATTAAAAACAATATATAAAATACTAACACAAAGAAAAATTTTTATTCTATGTAAAATTTAGAAATTGTAATAGAACCAAAGTATTAAAATAGAAAAAAATTTTAAGAGTTTTCTGCAAGATTCTGTAAATAAAAAAACTGGTAAAAAAAAAAAATCAAAAAGGAAAATATTTAGAATTAATAAGATAAAAATTACTTATTAACGATAGCAATTCCTGTTAGTTTATATTCGGCCATCCTTCGATACACAAAAGTTTCAGAATTTCATACTAAGCAAGTTCAAGATCTTGTTAATCAAACTTTTAGACATATGTATATAACTTAAAAACTGTTCATACTATCATGCCTCGCATAAGAATCCTAATAAAACCTATTAAAAAATGAGCTACCTTAGTAAACCATAAAATATCCATTATACAGTAAGCACACCATTTATTGACATAAAACCTGGAACTGCTGCATTCTTCGTTATGCCACATAAATAATGTAAACCATGAAATATTCATTATACAGTAAGCACACTATTTATTGACATAATACCTGGAACTGCTGCATTCTTCATTATGCTACATAAATAATGTAAACCATGAAATATTCGTTATACAGTAAGCACACTATTTATTGACATAATACCTGGAACTGCTGCATTATTCGTTATGCCACATAAATAATGTAAACTATAAAATATTCATTATACAGTAAGCAAACCATTTATTGACATAATACTTAGAACTGCTGCATTCTTTGTTATGCTCATAAATAATAAAGAAGACCATTCAAAATAAGAATTAAGAAGGAGTTACAATAGTTCAAACAATTTAATGATCAAAATTCTTACCATAAACTTGCAAAATTAATATTTTAAATATTTCATAAAATTTCTTTTCAATTTATCACCTAACAGAGCTGTTGTACTTATAATAATATTCACGCTTGATAAATAAAATAGTTGAGCTAATGATCATCGATAAGTTTAAATATAATCAGCGAAACAATATTTTTGAATTGATTTACAAAATGTTTCTACACTGAAGCTTGAAAAAAATGACTATAGTAGCCCCAATAACATCAATGCATAATTCTTGGATTAAAATAACAATATAGTAATAAAACAGTTCAAATATATAAAAACTTAGCACGAATTAAAGTTGCATAAAGAATACTAATCAGTGCATAAATCTAAGTCAACTCGTAACTTATTTTTCATGATCTTTAACATGCTGAGGTGCTATAGGTGTCTATTAGCTTTTGTATTTTGTGTTAATTCATATATTGCAAGCCTGTGCTTGCTACATTTTACGAATTGGTAAACTTTGTAACAATAAATTTATATTAATAAGTTAATTTAATAAATCTGTACAATAAAATAGCGATTTAACTTACTTTAAGCCTTCAGATTATTGATTGATAATATTCATTCAAGTTACCTATTCAGTAGAAAAAACATATCGTAATTATGATGTGTTATAACAAGCTTAGTATATTGAATAATTTTCGGTTCATTAATGTTTTTTGACTATGCAATTTAGAGGTCGTAGTGTAAGTCCCAAATATAATAAAGCTAGCATTTATTTCACTGAAAGATTTCTATTTAGAATATCACAATGATCCACTTATATCTTTGCTTTGCATAATTTGCATATTTTTTGTAACACTACTGCATATTCTCTTAACATATATGATGATAAATCTATTTGATACGTAAAAAAATTGGCTTGGCTTGAAGTAAATTGTAACAAAGTCTATTAGCGTTATTTAAATATAAAAATTATTAATATATTGATATGAATATTGTAAACTTCGATTATTTTATTAAAATAAAATTAAAATACCTAAAATTTATAAATTTGTCGGTAATCAAGAATAATAGTAAATATTTTCTTCATTTCCAATCTTCATCAGTATTAGCATAATTTTTATTATTCGAATCTTCTAAAAACGTTTCTGTATCATAGCCATCAATCTCATCTAAAAATGTTTTCATATCATAACTATCAATCTTATCTTCTGTATTATTAAAAGATTCATCAAACAATTCTACTTCATAATTATTTAATTCTACTGAATTTAAATATTCAAGAATTCTGGTTGTTTTTTAAAAATCCTCACGTGGTTGAGTTAATTTGTAATTACTATAAATGTATACAAGCTTTAAAACACGATCAGGTGTTAATCGACTTCATTTCTTATCATGAATATATTTAAAAGCAGACCGGTTTCGTTCAGAAGCTGCAGAAGAACATGGAATACTAAGTACTCTAATAGCTAATTTAGTAAGTTGAGGTGCTACTAATTTAAAATTTCCATCCCACCACATAATTGGATCTACTTTGTCAACTGTATCCCATGCAAGCTTAATATCAAATATACCACTTTGTGCTTTATAAAATGTTATTTGCTCCCAAATAATTGCTGAATCTTTTAGATAATACTTTCTAATAAAGCTTTCAATAATTGCTGTGCTATTTCGAGCAAGACTTCTTCCACAATAATTAGGATCTAATAAATGTGCAAGTAACATAACTGGGTGAAAAATTTTTTTTCATCTTTTTTCTAATATTTCGTAAATCGCATTTTCTATACTTGGAAAAAAATAAACTAAACTCAAATAAGTTATTACTATAGTATTATTATTATGCGTATATTAAAAATTATTGTTTTATAAAATTTACCTGTTAAATTTAACTGTTTATGATACCATTCATAAAACATGGCTAATCGTGGTGTATCAGATTTGAATAATGCAATTCCTGTTACAAGTTGTTTAAGAACTTTAAGAAGCGATTTTATATCTTGCCAAAAACTTTCATTTTCAATTATTTTACAAATTGTTTTAGGAATTTTTATATCCGATCTCCATGATAATTCAACTTTTGTTAAATGAATTGCTGATTGGTTTTCAACTAAGGAACTTAAACAAGCCATGAT